AATCTTCTAATAGAAAGATTCATCTATATCCTGGATGTAGGTTAGCATCTCATAAAGATCTTCCTTCATTTAATAAACTTCTTCTTCTTCCCTAGATGATAATATATAATAATTACTTAATTAATGATTGAATCTATTGGATTTCTAGGTTAGACTTTTCAATAAAAGTTTGTATATGTTAGTCCCACCAACTCTTGATCTCCTCTAATTCTATCATGTAAAAATTCTTCTCGGCATTCCAATTATTTAAAGTTGAGCCTTCTACAATGTTTACTAATTTTTCTAAATCATTGTAAGAGGATTAAGCTAGATTGGTGTTTTCATTAATGAGGTTTAAGTATAATTAGTTTTCCTTTTCAATCTAATCGTATACTTATTTGATAGATTGTGATAATTCTTCCATAATTTTCTTCATCATTTATTCGGTTTGAGAGAGTAAGGACTTAAAGGCCATTCTCTATTCAGTTAACTTAGATGTGTCATCAAGCTTGGACTCTGTTAATTTCTTCATAGCCATATCCTGAAATTTATTAATGGGAACTGTTTGCTTGACATCCACTCCATGGTCATACATACATTCAACACATAGTTTCCTTTAACACTTGTGCGGAGCTATACATATCAAAGATATTGGACTTTTGATATGATAAGTGCAATTCATTATTTTTAATAATGAATTTCTATTACTCTAACTTGAAGTTATATACTGCAAAATCGATAAAAGTATCTTGTGCATTTCTGTAAAATAGAAGTTAGGACTTTGTATAGATTGGAAAATGATTGTAATTGAGATAAAATATGCTATTGAGAATTCATTTCAATATCTGCATTACTTGATTTTTTAATAATATAGAATATAATTATTTTATATTACTATTTTTAATTTTTACAACAATTGAATTATATGAATAATTCATTAATTTTTCTAGTTTATCTTTAATTTTTCAGCCACATGTCTTAAGATTGAAACAAGTTTCAATTTTTTATTTAGATTGTAGTATTTTTATGTAAGATTATATTTATAGGTTGTAACCTCTTTTGTAAAATAACACTACCTGAGGTTGATATTGTAAAGGAAAAAGTGAAGTTTTATTTTTTGGAAGGGTCAATTTTGTCCACACTTTCTCTGTAACCAGGATATATGAAACATTGATATTAGAATATACCCCTCTAATAAATGATGTATGATATGTATATATTTTATGTGTCTCATTTTTTTATATAAATAAAATATTTTTGGATATTTTCTTATAAAGTCCAAAATCTAGTATGACCCTTCCA